AGAAGAAGAAGAAGAAGAAGAAGAAGAAGAAGAAGAAGAAGAAGAAGAAGAAGAAGAAGAAGAAGAAGAAGAAGAAGAAGAAACCTAGGGTTAGGCTGCTTGAGGGAAGAGAAGCTGAGTTCAGCATGGAGAGACTCCTCACATCTCTGAGGCCTGTATCCTGACTTTCTGGGACAGGCCTACTACACAGTAGGAACTTGATGCATACAATCTCTGGTGATTTTTTTTTTTTTAAGTAGAGCAATGAAAACAGTTACTACTGTTACTGAAATCTCAGATCCCAACATCTGCAATAGATCTCCCTGTGTGTCTTGTAAACTGGAAAAAGACAGACTGTGACCTGAACATCTGCAAAGTTCTCTCACTGTCTGTCTCTCCTCTTTTTTCTTTTGGTGGTACTGTGGGAGGAAGTTATCAAACTGAGAGCCTTGCACAGGCTAGTCAAGTATTTTAATAAGCTTCCCTAGGTTTGATTGGTCGATGGGGCTCTGTTATTTAGATTTCACAAAAAGAAAACAATTAATGAACCATAGCAACCTACTTAAAATCTGTCACATACTCACCATATACAGCTGACTGACTTTTTCTTGACACTTGACATAGGCTTCGTAGTCTGCAAAGACTTTAAATCTGTATTTGTTTTTTTGTGTTGCAAGGTTGGAAGGAAACAGAACAAATTCATCAACAGAGATTCTACTTTAAATCCTCTTTTGCTGACTGTCAAGCGCATCTGGCTTACCAACAAGAACAGTCACTGTTTTGTGGTTCCCATATGCAAATGTGTCATCATGCATATGTGTGTGAGAGCTGAATGTATCAGTGGAAAGAGAAAACGAACACAAGATTTGAGTCTTATTCTCAAGCCTTAACCACTTGTGCAGGATTCCCGCCCCCAAGCTTCTGATATTGAATCACATCACAGGCCTGTGCTAAATTACATGAGAGGGTTGCTGCTAGTTTGAGATGTTTTTGTCCCATGTTCACCCATCAAGTCAGAACATGTAGAAACCCACCTGTCATGATAAAACAGCATGTTGATGATGTCTTTGAAGAGATCAGGCTGAGTGGGAGAAAAGAAGCCATTGTCAATTTGATCAATGGCCAGCTTCAGTTCTGGAAGGGCCTCATAATATTCTTTTGCCTCATACCTGTAGCAAAGGGTGGGCAGATGATGGGAGAAAAGACTGCATTAGTGTGTGTGATGAGCAGCACTCTGGATAACTCATTTGCTGTAAAACGCACACATAAACACCAGCATTTATACAAATCATTATAGATTTCAACATGGGTATAATAGTAGATCCTAATTTATACCTCCCAACTGATTCATTCCTCATAATCAAAAGCATTAAGAACAGTAAATAATAAAAATTCTAGTCTAATCTGATAGAATACGGTAAGGTTTAATTTAAAGTGTGAAGGGAACTAGCTGCTTTCTTTGGACCCATAAATACTTTGGATACATAAAACTTGATGCTACTGAGTGAACTTTACTTCTAAGGGTCAGAAAGTATATTTAGCATCCTCTAAATTTCCTGAAGCTCCTTTGGGGTCCTGCTTGAACTCAGGTTAATAAACCTAACTCTATATTAAACGAGAGCAAACACTCCTAAGGCACATCTCTACGCTGTGCCGTATTTTGGTCCATCACTGAGAGCTCTTAAAGGAGCACTGGGTATCCGTTTAACTTATTGACAAGAACATTTGAAAAACTATTACTTCCTCTTTTGATCAAAGTAAAAAAAAAAAAAATCACAGATGCAGGAAGCTGCAAGGCTCACTAAGCTGCTGTGCCTGGTAACCATGGCAACTTGCCCCTGCATCTGCTCTAAGCATCCTTTAGTTACACTGGCGGGGTAACTAAGGCTAGCTATGGCTAGCATGACCTGACTCCTCAAGGGAAATGTTCTATCTCTGCATCTCATGAGACCAGGCCTCAGTGGGATGCCTGCATGAGCAAGCAGCAAACCCTTGGGGATAATGTTCCTTCCTGGGGGTGACCTGCTTGGCAAAGCAGAGTGGCTCTCACCCTTTCTTGTCCAAAGCGGCCACATCATCTACCCTCATGCCAAAGATGAACAGGTTCTCCTCCCCAGCTTCCTCTGCCATCTCCACGTTGGCCCCATCCATAGTCCCGATGGTCAGGGCCCCGTTGAGCATGAACTTCATGTTGCCCGTCCCAGAGGCTTCTGTGCCCGCGGTGGAGATCTGCTCCGATAGATCTGTGGCTGGAATGACTGTAAGCAGGCCATGTCAGTATGACATTCTTTTTCTCTGGGCCCTTAGTGTGAGCACTGATCTAGCTGGCCTGTTGTTGACCTCACGACCATGTGCATATCCTGGTCCCCCTTCAGTGGTACAGAAGGACAGAGCTCACTTGCTCCTTGGTCCAGGCAGCTACTGTGCCCTTATGTACCTGTGTGCTTATCACTCTTTCTTAGTCTATCAACTTTAAGTCTACTGGTTCTGAGCTACAAGCTGGACGTTATCTTTCTCCCTTTTCATCTCTCCATTTTTATTTCTTCTGCTTTATAAAACACATTGCAACTTCTATGTCTTGGCCATATAATTCCCAGATCTTTCTTTACCTCTTCTTCTTTTTTTCAGGGGACTGAACTGTCCCACCTCTTCTCTTGCCCCTTTCACTGTCACTGCAGTTGAGGTGTTTTGTGCCTGGGGCTAGGCATTCGAGCTCTGCCCCCTCAGCCTCATGCATACCCAAATCAGATCTGCCTGCCCCCTGCCTCACCCCCAGCCCCTTCACCACAGAGGTCAAGCCTGAGTGTGCCTTGTCTGAGAGCTTCATTTGTGGACTGGATTTGTACTCATCTGTATTTTTAGAAGTCTGGCTCCTGTCTCTTTATGCAGAGGCATTTAAGCAGTGACCCCATGGGACCCCAAAATACCACAAAGAGAAAGTTGACTTTTGAGTTTTTCAATCTGGGAAGTAGGTGAATATACGGTTGGCATTGGCTGGCAGGCAGCTTCTCTGCCGGGAATGAATTGTGAATAAAGAAAGGGCCCCGTGGTAAAGAAAGGGACACTGGCTTCCTGCCTGCTTGTCCCTGTGTAGGAACTCTGTGTTTGATTCTGGAGTACACATCTAAGCCTCGTGCTTTGGCAGCCTCATGTCTGTCCTCATTCGCTATCAGCATGAACAAATGACAGCCCTTCCTCCCATGCAGTGACTCGAATCATCTGAGAGTTAAGGAGCTGGTGTTCTCTTGCAAAACCCAGGCTGGCAACTGAAGACCTTTCTTCCCTTTTGCAGGGGATCCTGGCCAAACTTCAGCATCTCCACCATCACAGGCTCTCTCCAGTTGTAGGAACCAGGCACACTTGCAAATGTGATTGTGTGACAGCAACCTCATGGGTCTCTCTGGTCATCTTAGAATGTTGCTAGCTCCCTGGAGTCAGCTGCCCCATCTCTAACCTGAGCAAGCCCAGATTTTGTCCCTCCCCTCCCCCATGCTTGGCAATGAGAGCACTACCTTTTTCAGCAAGAGATACTCTGTAATTTTCCAAGAAGATGACTTTCAACTTGCTGCCGACCATGGGGTCATTGTTCACCACTTCTGCCACAGAGGTGATCAGCTTTATGATCATTTTGGCCATGTGATATCCGGGGGCAGCCTTGGGAAAGAATAGCAGTGTGTGGAGAGAAGGCCTGATCAGTGAAGAAAGCATGTAGCAAGAGACCAGAGCCCTTAAGTCCCCATGAAATTCAGTCAGCTTACTTTGCCACCAATGATGACTGTCCTTGGCACGAATAACTTCTTAGGGTCTTTCTTGATGCCTTCAAAAGATGGAGATATAGATAGAGATGACTGCTGTGGAGGTACACCTTGAGACTGCTGCTTCTACCCCCAAGAGGGGTTACCGGGGGCTGGAGGGAGGAGCTCCAGGGAAACTCACGGTTGTACATGGTGATGACATGCAGACAGTTCAGGAGCTGCCGTTTGTACTCGTGAATCCGCTTTACATGGACATCAAACATGGAAGATGGGTTGATCTTCACCTTGTACTCCTTTTCCAGGAACTGGGAGAACTTCAGCTTATTTTCCTGTGGAGAGAAAACAGGCCAGAGCCCTCTCAGTTGGAAGCCTTGGGTGTCTGCTGGGGTCCATACCCTCAACTCCAAGGGGAAGGCAGAGACCCTGGCCTGGCAGGCAGTCTCACCTGCTTCACTTTGGCTATTTCCCGGAGGAAGAGGTCGTCGCTCACAAAGCTATGGAGCTTTGTTAGCTGGCCCAGGTCTTTCACGTAGTCTTCTCCAATTTTCTATCAATGTAAAAGAAAAGGTGATCTTAATTTGAGACGGTATTCACACCCATCATAGAAGTTTTTGCCAGTGTATGGAAAGTGGCTCTTATGCCCAGAAGTTCATATAATGGTTTGTTTTGCTCACAAAAGAAGGGAGACATTCTATGTGGGAAGAACTTTAAATATAAGAAATTTACATACAAGGGTGACCAAGAACCAAGGTTTTGTTATGCTTCTGACCTTTGTTATCCTCTGTTATTAGTGAACACCTTATACCATCTGTGGGTCACACAGACACTGTTGGCCATGACAGCTATGTATTTTGTGTAGTCCTTGTTCAAAATCGAAGAATTTCAAGATGGAGGCTTAGTGGTTAAGAGAACATACTGCTCTTACAGGGGACCTGAGTTTGGTTGCTAGCACCCATATGGAGAGGCTCACAATTGGCTGTGACACCAGCTTCTGGAGATGTGACACCCTATTCTGGCCTCTAAAGGTACCTGCATCCATGTGTACATACCTCTCCCATAAAGACATAACCAAAAATGAAATTAAACTAAGATGGTCCTGCACAAAAGCACAAGCCACTTACTCAGAAGTCAGCCCTGTCACAGGTAAGATGTGTGGCATCTCTGTGCTTTTATCTGCCAACCTCAACTCCACCCCCACCGGCCTTCCTCTCAGCGCCTCCTTTTACCTCTGCTATCAAGTCAGCCAGCCCTGGATTGCAGAGTAAGAGCCAACGCCTCGGAGTAATCCCGTTGGTTTTATTCTGGAACTTGTCTGGTTCTAGCTCACTGAAGTCCTTGAATCTGGAGACAGAAGAGACAAACTGCTGGCTCGGGCTGAAATGGGCAGAGTTCTGCTTGCTGGGTAAAGGTCAGTGTTACATTCAAGAAGCCAAGCGGAGGCTCAGAGAGAGAAGTGAAGGTGAAGGAAGGTTTGGCAGCAGCTATGATCTCATTTTAAATAGAAGAGACTCATTTGCAATTCAGAACAAATCTAGCCACCTCCATCTGACTTCCTGGCTGTGACAGATACACCAAGTTTTTCAGCAGAATATTTCACGTTTACTTGTACATCTAGAATTGGAGGGGTACAGAGAAAACATTTTTGTCTTTCTTTTTAAGAAAACAGTTCTCCATGTACAAGACAATACTTGAAAGCATTCCCCAGGCCCTTCCTCATCTGGAAGCACAATCAATACTAATTATAATTAGCACCATCACATCCATGGACCTGGGTTAGGCCTGATGCTCCAGGAGCATCACTCACACTTGGGTCTTCACGATGTCTGAGTGGATCTTGGCTACACCGTTCACTGCATGGCAGCCCACGATGCAGAGGTGGGCCATGTTGATCCTCTTGCCTCCTTCCTCTTCGATTAGAGACATCCTCCTCATGCGGTCAATGTCTTTAGGAAACAAGGCCACGATTCTCTAGTCAAAGGAAGACACAGATCTCGCTGGCCACTGGGGTTTTAATTCTGTCGGAGAAGCTACTCTCGCCCCAAGCAAAATCTCTGATGGAGGGAGAAGAGACCTTCACAGAGAGCAGAGCTGGCTGTGGGGATGCCAGCCCTCCATCTTACACTTCCAAAAGCATGGGTGAAGGGACCAGCTTCCCTTTTGGCAGCCATAATGGCTGAACACGTGTTTCTATGACCTTGTCCTAGACACTAGAAAGTCAGATGCCTGCCTCGTGACAAGGAAACAATCAGAAGTTAGTCACTAGAAAGTCAGATGCCTGCTTCGTGACAAGGAACCAATCAGAAGTTAGCTGGTGGCACTATGCTTTAAGACCCTGGGTGTGCTTTACGGACAAGCACACAGCAATGACGTAGAAAGCATAGCAACCACCCTGGGAGGCCCTATGGACCATAACAACCAGTTGACCAATCAACACAGGACAAACCCTCCAAGCCTGGAGGCACGCCAATCCTGAGCCTGTGCGTACCCCTAGACGCTCCCCTTATGCTGCCCTATAAAGATCTGTACGAAGCAGCTTCAAACTGTCTTTGCTAGCCATCCGACATGGTGGGTGAATCAAAGGCCTGAGCTAACATGGGGTTAGCTCGTTAAACTACAATAAAGCCTCATGCAATTTGCATCAAGCTTTCGCCTCCACTCTGTGATTGGGGTGGCCACGGTCCTGGGCTAAGATTCTGGAAGCCTGAGCTTTCCGAGGTCTTACACGTGTTTAACAGAGCCCCACTCAGACCTGAGTGCTTTTAGCAATGCCTGAAAGACACGAAGACCTTGTTTAGGAAGGGGGAACACTGTGCCCATCTCAGATACCTTACAGCCCCATTCTCTTGAGAGGTACTCGTCTTTCAAAAGGACTCACGTCCAAATGCTTCTGATTGATCTCATAAATGATCTCCAAGTGTCGAGGCAGTAGCTTCTCCACCAGCTCCACCGGCCAGCGCTCCAGTGCCTCTGGGAGCACCGTGTGGTTGGTATAGGCGAAGGTTTTCTTGCTGATCTCCCATGCCTGCAGGAGAAAAGGGTCAGTTTTGGTCCCTTCAGTGTGCACCCCCATAGAGCCAAGTACTTCTCAATGCCCACTGTGTGCCACAGGTGTTTCTGAATGGGCACAGTCAGGCACACTCGATTCCATTGAGTCTTCAAATGGGCAGGGAAATAAAATGCTCTTTATAAAACTATAATAATAAGAAATTAGACTGTATTCTGATCAACCTACTTCGTGATCACCACTTGTGTCTTTTATTTGTTAAATGCCAAATACTCAAAGTTGGGGACTAAAACTTTAAGTAACATTTAGTGGACACACAGTATGTTTAAAAGTCTGCAATTTTTTTTGTTTGTTTTCTGGTTTTTGGTTTTTTGGTTTTTCAAAACAGGGTTTCTCTGTGGCTTTGGAGGCTGTCC